GTATTTAGTAGTTGTCATAACTAGTTTAAAAAACGTATTTAGTAGTTGTCATAACTAGTTTAAAAAACGTATTTAGTAGTTGTCATAACTAGTTTAAAAAAGTTATTTAGTAGTTTTGACAACTACTTTAAATACGTTTTTTAAACTAGTTATGACTTTTTTAAACTAGTTAAACTACTAAATACGTGACAACTACTAAATACGTTTTTTAAACTAGTTATGACTATCTTGCAAAAAATTAAATTATATACAATTATAGAATAGTTCAAAATGAAATGTTTCTAAAGAAAAGAACAAACCCAAAATGATGTTATTAAAACTTTATTGCAAATATTCAAACTTCAGAATGTTGTTTATCCATAAACGAAGGTTTATCACCTCGAAGGCGATTCGATGTAAGCTCAAGAACGATTCTTTTTTTATTTATATTATATATTTCAACATGATTTTACGTAAAGATAGACTAGAATGTAAACACCACAGGAAGTAATTTTTCAACTTTATTTTTTTCGGCTCAAAGTTAAGCCCCCGTACCGCTCCCCCTCCCCTCAAACTGAAACTGACTAGCTGATAAAGTGATGACCAGTTCTGAATATTACTTACCTTGAAGTATACATCATGTAGCATACAAAGTAAAGAAGTTTGAATTGTTTTATTTAGTATTTTTAATTTTTCGTTTTTACTTTGTATGTAGTATATTTAAAGCTAGTAAAGAAGAAAACAATACAGTTTACACGGCAAAAGAAAAAACCAAAACGAAGTATTCCAATGCCAAATGCTTATATAACAATAAAATAGTACAATATAAATAGCCTTTTGTTCAAAACCAAACCAGCATTCACACAAAATTACATTTCATTTGCACTTATATACAACAAATATCAATGGAGACTCGATGAGCGATATAGTTTCTTCTTGTTCAACGTATAATTTTCGCTGATGACCAGTGGCGAGTTTTGACCGAGACTCTTCATCAGCCGAGCCGGTATTAAATGTCTTAAACTCAACCAACTGCTGCAGTCCTGTTTGAGGGTCAGAAGTACTTCGAAGGTCGCTACAGTGTCCGAGTCGTACTTGACCTTGCCAATCCGACGACACAAGGTTTTCTCCTCGAGATTAACGTACACTACGCACCCCCGGATCCCACAAGGTTCCTTTTGTGACAATTTCAGTATATCCCGAACGATCCGCAAAATGAGATCGCACGGAACGAGCACCTCGGCACATTTCACCTGAGTACGCTTAGCTTCTTTCAAGCTCTCTTCTAACTTTTGCGACAGGAGTTGACACTTGTGGAGTTCATCGGCATCAGCCTCTCGGAGATCCGAAGGAAGGACATCTATAAAGACCAAAATTAACAGCCCTATCTCAGTGACTGCTCGAAATATCGCATATTTCATAAACGTGTGATATATTATTTATTTTATTTTATTTTTATAATACCCGTTGTTTGATCCAGTTTGCTATTGTTCGCTAACTGAGTAATTCGCGGTTTTGGTGACAGGTTTAGATAATGACTGATTTTTTGTAAATAGAATTGATAATATAAGCCTGTTATAATTTAAACTCGTGACTAATTCGTTTGATAATTGTTCTAGATTAAACAAAATCATGACCTCCAAAATTATCATGTATGTGGCGTGATCTGATTGACAATTGATCAATAACGATTGGGTGCTTTGCTAACTGTAAAAAAAGAGAAAAGTTTACTACTTCTCAGTTAAATCCCTAATTCTAAACCGTAACAACATAGAGTTCTACGTACCTTTTGAACCGAGCCACGAAATAAAATGATCAGAAAAGGGATTATTTTGAAGAGTATGAATTTCCATAATAACTTTAAAAATCTCCGAAATTTCTATTTCTCTACGTTGGAGACGTCCGAATTTTCGTGTACACAGTCGTACTGTTATAACTGTCAACACGGCTGTAGTAACACTGAAAAGATGTGCGAGAATCACAGTAACTTCTTTGTCGAGTGACTTCGACTAACACAAGCCTTTTCAAGACAGCTGATATTCTGATAGCACCCTCTAGCGGTAATCGCTGTTATCTGGAGAGTCAAACTATTATCCAATCACATTTCTAGAGCAGCGCCTAGCAACCGAGGTCTTCAGGAGACGCCTGAGGTCTACACGTGTACACGAGTAGCTTGGAGGCACACGCACGAGGAATATTCTAGTGGTTTATAAGGGCATGTTTAAACATGCACTGTTTGTCTGTACACGTGAAATAAACCGGCAAATCAAGAACGTTCGACGCCATAAGTCAACAGTATTATAAGGCAACAGTATTATAGCTGAAACTAAGCTGTGTTGGTTAAACTGTAAACGATAAAATATAACGAATTAATATGTTTCTCGTCTTTATGTTAAATAACTGTGTCTGTCGTCTATATTGGAACTTACATTCTCGTCTTCATGAAAGGACTGTATCTCTCGCTATATTGGAACTTACTTTCTCGTCTTTATGAAAGGACTATGTCTCTCGTCTTTGTTTTAACTTACTTTCTCGTCTTTATGTTAACGAACTGTGTCTGTCGTCTATATTGGAACTTACATTCTCGTCTTTATGAAAGGACTGTGTCTCTCGCCTTTGTTTTAACTTACTTTCTCGTTTTTATGAAAGGACTATGTCTCTCGTCTTTGTTTTAACTTACTTTCTTGTCTTGGTGAAAGGACTATGTCTCTCGTCTTTGTTTTAACTTACTTTCTCGTCTTGGTGAAAGGACTATGTCTCTCGTCTTTGTTTTAACTTACTTTCTCGTCTTGGTGAAAGGACTATGTCTCTCGTCTTTGTTTTAACTTACTTTCTCGTCTTGGTGAAAGGACTATGTCTCTCGTCTTTGTTTTAACTTACTTTCTCGTCTTGATGAATAGACTATGTTCTCGTCTTGTGTTAGATATCAGTTCTATCTATCTTTGAACTCAGTATCGTGTGTTAGATATCAGTTCTATCTATCTTTGAACTCAGTATCGTGTGTTAGATATCAGTTCTATCTATCTTTTAACTCAGTATCGTGTGTTAGATATTAGTTCTGTCTATATTTTAACTCAGTATCGTGTGTTAGATATTAGTTCTGTCTATATTTTAACTCAGTATCATGTGTTAGATATCAGTTCTGTCTATCTTTTAACTCAGTATCATGTGTTAGAAATCAGTTCTATCGATCTTTTAACTCAGTATCGTGTGTTATATATATCAGTCCTGTCTATCTTTTAAGTTAGTATCATGTGTTAGAAATCAGTTCTGTCTATCTTTTAACTCAGTATTGTGTGTTAGATATCAGTTCTGTTTATCTTTTAACTCAGTATGATGTGTTAAATATCAGTTCTGTCTATCTTTAAACTTAGTATCGTGTGTTAGATATTAGTTCTATCTTTTAACTCAGTATCTTGTGTTAGATATCAGTTCTATCTATCTTTTAACTTAGTATCTTGTGTTAGATATCAGTTCTGTCTACCTTTTAACTTAGTATTGTGTGTTAGATATTAGTTCTGTCTATATTTTAACTCAATATCGTGTGTTAGATATCAGTTCTGTCTATCTTTTAGCTCAGTATTGTGTGTTAGATATCAGTTCTGTCTATATTTTAACTCAATATCGTGTGTTAGATATCAGTTCTGTCTATCTTTTAGCTCAGTATTGTGTGTTAGATATCAGTTCTATCTATCTTTTAACTTAGTATCTTGTGTTAGATATCAGTTCTGTCTATCTTTTAACTCAGTATCGTGTGTTAGAAATCAGTTCTATCGATCTTTTAACTCAGTATCGTGTGTTATATATCAGTCCTGTCTATCTTTTAAGTTAGTATCATGTGTTAGAAATCAGTTTTGTCTATCTTTTAACTCATTATTGTGTGTTAGATATCAGTTCTGTTTATCTTTTAACTCGGTATGATGTGTTAAATATCAGTTCTGTCTATCTTTTAACTTAGTATCGTGTGTTAGATATTAGTTCTATCTTTTAACTCAGTATCTTATGCTAGATATCAGTTCTATCTATCTTTTAGCTCAGTATTGTGTGTTAGATATTAGTTCTATCTTTTAACTCAATATCATGTGTTAGATATCAGTTCTGTCTATCTTTTAGCTCAGTATTGTGTGTTAGATATCAGTTCTATCTATCTTTTAACTTAGTATCATGTGTTACATATCAGTTCTGTCTACCTTTTAACTTAGTATCGTGTGTTAGATATTAGTTCTTTCTATATATTATATCAGTTAAGCGTCTATAATCTATACATATCAGATATATCAGTACGAAATTGAATGTTAATGGTTTTGAATATTTTTCATAATGTTCATTCACAATTATTGAAATCGATCTGGTAGTAATCAATAAACGGCCTTCACAACAGATTAACACTATTTTGGAACAACAACGACTGTGTTATTTGAAATTGTATACCGATAATAAACATAAACGAATATCCGACATGAAATCCTGCGTTTTGTGTTTTACTTTTTTTCAGAAATATGTTTCGTTTTATTTGTTTTTTCTCAGAAATAATACGAAAAGATCAAAATATTCAAATGGATTCTTAATATACATGAAATTATCTAATAGTTAAGAGTGGTCAAATATACTAAAATATAGACAACAGCGCCCTCTCTGGACGAAATCAACTTTTTTCTCTATATTTTAATGAGATCCAACTTGGACACTAGCTTTGACAATGACTTTTGGTCACTGACCTTGCCAGTTATCCTTTAACCCAATGTTTCCCTATTGTTCTACTCTTGTACACAGTTAAATTCAATGTTTCACTGTCTTTCTAATCATTCTGTTGATACGTTATAAACTCTAATCAAGAAGCCCTCTGGTCTTGCTCACAAAATTAAATTACACCCTGTGTTAGAGGATGGATGATGATTCATAAACATAAGTTGAAACCTTCATAACATATTCAGAGGGTTGTGTATGTTATATTAAAACGATTTGGGGTTCTTACCACTCATTACAGACTATTCACCATGTCTAGTCATGCTCCATCTGACGGCCGTGCATCTTGACAATAGCCCTATAGCGATGTTTATATTGCATATGGCTACGACTTAAGGCTCTAATGTCCAAAGTACACCAATGCTTTCTGTAGTGTTTTCCATAATCCATCTAGCAGCTATTATTTCATCAGTCCAAATATACAGAAACTCATAGATGCTGTTTCCAAAGATTTGATCAGTATATCTTCATATTTATTAGCATGAATACCCATTTCGTTCTTCAGCTGCTTGATGTAAGCGACAGTAAACGGAAGGTATGACTGGAAGCTGTATTTTGGTGAACATACTTTGTTAGCCTCGCTTGCAGAAGGAAATATTTCCTGATTATGTTGGTACTGTTGCCTGGGGCGCGTGGACGACTTTTGCTACTGATCTCTGTACTTGTGAATCTCATTTATTACAGCACGGTTTTTTTCAGGATGGTCCTGGTGCCCTAAGGTGATCCATATGCTTTTGTTTTCTATTACAAGACACAGCATTTTGCTTAACACAATTATGGTACGACTTGTTGCAGGTCTTTTTCTACATGGTCCTGGTACACAAAGGTAATCCGCATGCTTTTTTTTTCTAAAGGCATTAAGCACGTAGGCTAACCCCCATCTTAGAGTTTCCAAATCTTCGATTTGAACACATCTTTATGATCAGAGTGTATGAACGTGTTTCGTCGGAAAGGATTGTTATATACTCTTCTCCAAAGCGATGAATTTTTGGTAGAATCATACTTCCTATGAAACGCTAAATAATGTAAACATATATTTCTGACACGTGCTAATCCAACCCTGTGGAACTTAACAGAACTGATGACATCATGTTTTGTAACATTAATATGGCATTTTTATTCATGGCAAAGCCACTAAGGTCCCTAATTTTTCACTACTTACCGGATGGACAGCCAAAATTCAGAGCTCTACTACCACAGGGCCCACATAAATGCTGATCCTATATTACAACTAACGCCATCGTACGTTCGATCTTGTAAATTTTCTTAATTTTTGTTGTTCTGAAGGAAGAAATGTTTTTATATTCCCAAAACGTTCGAGTTGTCATTAGAAAAAAAAGATCTTGTGATTTTTAATTCTACGTATTTTGGTCAGTTTTAGTACTGTTTATTTTTGTTTCTAACACGATAATAAAAACAAAGCTTCTGCGTTACTCCGATTGGGATACGCAGAAAACCTAGATAAGATTGTTATGTCTGTATCCATTTGAACTTGTTATTCTGATCATGTTTTCGAATATGTATGACAAGGTGAATCCTAAAATATAAGCTTTATAACCAACGTCAACTGTGGTCTCTTCTAACAATGTTTACTGCACTTTATGATCAGGTCAGTGTTAATATTGACTGACATCTTGCTGCCGGTGTTATTGATGATAGTTAGAACACCCGATTGGTGAATCAACGCGTACTAGTCTTCGTAAGTTTTGTTTTTTGATGTTTCATACTAATATTAAATTAGATATATTCACTCCTGATCTATTCTGGCAGTTTGCTTTGATCAGAAATCAATGATAATGTACGTATCCAAGTCACAACACTGCCTCCTTCAAGTGGCTTACTACACTAAAAATCTGGTTTCTATACCCGTGGTGGGCAGAGCACAGATAACCCATTGTGTTGCTTTGTGCTTGACAGCAGGTAAATGAAATATACCAACCACATATACTAACCACAAAACGCAGCTTTTAACACACATCTAGCACTAACTTAAACACCAACGTCTGAAAAATTATGATGGTTAAAGTATCATGCCGTTGGAATTACTTTGCGCATGCGCAGGATAACGGCCATAATTATGCATTATTGCCCAACACAGCAATTTCCATTGTAATAGGTATCTTAGACGATACTGAACATTACTATTGACTTCTAACACCACGCTTAAGAAGACTAAAAAAAACCATAAAGCACCATTGAAAGTGATGACGTTACACCAGTTCCCCTCTCATAAACTCGCCATAAAGCACCATTGAAATTGATGACGTTACACCAGTTCCCC